AAACATCAATGAGTTATTTGCAAATTTGAACTGATATGGAAGCAAATACATTTAAGAACATTTAAAAACCAACTTAATTTTTAAACGTTTTCAAATTTATGTGCTGTTATACAGGGCAAGAATTGAGGGGAAATTTCCCATAAGGGACACTGATAACAGTAAAAACATGATAAAGGTTGTACCTTCCCTCCCATGATCCAAAGCTAAAAAAATGTTGAAGTTACTCTTTAGTCAAACTTAGAGCTCATTTACACTATTATGCTTCAGTAACACACATGTTAAGTGATATGTTACTATTTATTGAATGGCCCCCCCACCCACTAACATGGGTTGTGGTGCACTGCCAAAAATGCTACATGGACCTTTTGTGGTGCGTTAGACAGCCCAGTTAAATAAACTGGCTGCCTGATACAATGCACGTTAAGGTTGTGTAAATGGTAGGCGGGATTTTTTCCAAAACGCAGCTGGCTCCCTGTCAAATATGTCATTAATCCTATTTACACATTCCAACAATTCTATATGAGAGCTATACCTGGCAGTGATGTTTCCTGTTCACTTAAAAACTGACTTAATGCAGGACTTCATCATAGGTAGATGGTGTCACGCCTTCTTTGGTTTACATGAATAAATGAGGGAAACTGTGCAACAGATTCTCTTAGACACAGCCAAAGCAAATGAAATGGCAAATACCTCAAGCTCCTTGCAAGTATAAAAAGCAATATTTGTGAAGATGTTTTATTGAAATTGAACATTAGTATCAGGGGCGGAATGACAACTCATGGGGCCCCTGGGCAATAGGGGATCATGGGGCCCCTGTGTCCTTGCCCAAACTCAAAAAAGCCTATGAAAAAGGTACCAGAGGCATCTCATGGGGCCCCCTACTGACCCCGGGCCCTTGGGCAGTGCCCGAGTTTCCAAATGGTCAGTCTGCCCCTGATTAGTATATTTAAAAAATAGGGAATGGTTAAAACTCCTGTGCCCCCTTCCCCCACCAACCTAGAATTTGTGCTTTTACAAACATTTTGCCATTATTTCCTATCCCAGAAAGACACAACGAAATGTGAGAAGAATCTTCTTTAAAGTTAAAGTTACTCTAAAGGCTCGTTTAAAAAAAAACAATAAAAAATAACAATAACAAATACATACTTACCTGCTCTGTGCAGTGGTTTTGCACAGAGCAGTCCCAATTCACTTCTTTTTGGATCCCTTGCTGGCGCTTCTGGCTCCTCCCCCTTGACTGGTGCCCCCATAGCAAGACTCTTGCTACGGGGGCACTGGTGCATGCTCGCTCCCTAGCCCTGCTCTATGCATCCATAAGACACATAGAGCCGCGGCTCAGCCCCACTCTCTCCTCATTGACTCACTGACTGCAATTGACAGAAGTGGGAGCCAATGGCTGTGTCTCAATCATTGTGGGGAGAGAGACCCAGGACAGCAAAGGTTCATGTACACATCGCTGAATCAAGAGGGGGCTCAGGTGAGTATTAGGGGGGCTGTGGGGGGGGGGGGGGCAGCACACAGAAGGTATTTTACCTTCATTCATAGAATACATGGAGGTAAAAAACTTTCAGCTTTTACAGCTACTTTAACAGAAATCCCCTTGTATGTCTTGTTTACAGAAGCAGACAGGAGGCTGTAAAAAAGGTGATGGAACCACGGTTTTGATGCCCCCCATACCAGACCACACCTCACCACAAGTTAGTACATGTTAATACACACTGCTGTGGTCGTGGTACAGCCAGGGGCGGACTGACCATTTGGAAACTCAGGCACTGCCCGAGGGCCTGGGGTCAGTAGGGGGCCCCATGAGATGCACCTGGTACCTTTTTCATAGGCTTTTTTAAGTTTGGGCAAGGACACAGGGGCCCCATGGTCCCCTATTGCCCGGGGGCCCCATGAGTTGTCAGTCCGCCCCTGGGTACAGCAAAATATATACTACAAGTCGCATTAGGTAGGCAGGTCTGCCACTAAACATGACCCATTTAAGTGAATGGCGCTGCACTGCAACTGCTCTGCAACTGTGTTTGTGACAGGGTATGGCAAACGTTTCATTGTTATCTCAGTTAACCAGTGCAGTGAGGAAGCATCCTCTAAGCTTCCTGCCAAATGCCTCTGAAAACTGCTATTGGACTGAATATTGGCTGTGAAATCCACCCATTGCCTCAGAGTTCCCCATCAGGTTCTGCCCACTGTCAGTTGAGTGTGACCTGAATCCTTGTTTGCTAACATGCCGGCAGCCTTCTTTGTGATAAGAGTACCACACAACACCATGTAAGGTGTCCTTTTATGAAACAGAGATCAGCAACGATCCTGAGGATTGTTGCTGATCTCAGATCATTAGTGGTTTAGGAAACAGAGATGATCAGTGGAGAACATGTTCTCTGCTGATCATCTCAGCACACAGACGGCCATTGTATGAAGGAGCGATGTCAGCCCTTCACTGGTGATCTGTGTTCTCCCTCCAGATTCTCCAGCTCAGAGCTGAAGAATCGGGGGAACCGCAAACGAAGCAGCGATAATTTACCGCTGCTTAGTAAACTGTTTGACTGATCTCTTACTGTAATCTCGCGAGATGATAGTAAAAGCAGCTGTTTTCCAGAGTTGAAAGCGTTTGTAGATTGCTTCTCAACTCTTTCGGAGAAGTGATCTACACCGCTTCATAAAAAGGCATTCAGAGGAGAACTGTCTCCTCTGAGAATGCCAGAGAACAGAGCAGCGGTCATTTACCACTGCATGATAAAAGGACACCTAAGTGTAGCATTTTGTGAAAACATAAAGGGTTAGAAACATTATACACTCACTTGGTGAACATGATTCATGGGCATATCAATGGCAATGCTTTACTTTTGAAACAATACTTTTGAAATTACTTCATGTGTTGTTGGATGCTCTACCCTCTCCTCCTCCTCACTTGTCCTTCTGCACCCCTCCTCTTCTGTCTTTACCTTTTCTGTTCTTTAGACCCCCTCTATCTTTAAATTTATAATTAAAAAAGGTGGCTGTATGAGAAATGTTCTTCTACTACCTAGCTCAGGTTACTCTTACACAGAATGACTTCTCATGCTTTACTGGCCGGGAGCCCATGTAGACACATGACCTGGCCGCTCATTCCCACCCCTGTAGTTCCCATTTGAAAAGTGGCCTCTCGAGCCTGTCATCGATCCATTTTCTTATTTAATCCCTTGATCATCGTGGTATATTCTTATGTTATCTGTCTTGCCATTCTTTGAGGATATTGTTATTGCTTATCTATATACAACTGATCTTACAGCACTTTGTTAACGAGATTGTAAATGCCACATTTTTCCAATAAAGAAAATGAAGAAAAAAGTATTTCACGCATTAAAACATATATGAGATTTTAGGGATAGGGTTTACATTACTTTAATATCCCCATTACTTGTAAATAAAATAAAAGGCATTGCAACCTGAATGGTCTTCGATCTACCTAGAAGCGAAAGCAGTCAGACTGATACAAAACAAAATAAATTCTCCGGTGTCCAGGAAACAACAGGCAAGATTCCTTATTTGAACTCATAAACGTAGGTTATGTGATGTTACTTAGAACAGGAGGGATCATTAAGCTATTTTCTGATCTAGTACCTGTAGAGAACACTTTTTAAATTTACATATATACATATATTATATTCAAGCAGTTTTGCTTTTAATGCAACATTGTTATGTTTTGGCTTGCAAAATGTTTGCTGTGATTATTATGGAAATGACAATCACAATTCTAAAATGAAGCTTTATAAATGAATCTAGACAAAATCGAGTATGCAAAATCAATTTATGTTTAATAATGAATAGCATGTCAATACTTCAGCTATGTAATTGCAAGAAAAAGCATTTGTTTGCATATAGATTTTCAGACTTTCTATAATCCTGCAGCAGCATCAACACAGGTGTAACGAAAAGGGCTGGAATTGGCACAATGCATGTGGCACATCAAACCACTTAACCTTTTAAGACCAAACATCAGAATACATTTTCTGCCATTGGAGCATTAGCTCTATGACCAAGCACCAGCAAAAACTTTGTATAAATCTCTAGATAGCAGCAGCTAATTTATGTGCATTATGAAAACTGCCTTAATGCCTAATGGGTTTATTTTTCTGAACAAATTATCATTTTTCCTGTGTTGGGTGTTAAGACTACAGATAAAACCTTTGGCTGAGCCATATGAGCTTTGCAAACATCAACTAGATTTGTCTGCAACATTTAGTAATTTAGCTTACAGCAAAACAATGATCCAAATTCCATTGTAGACAAACAAAATGACAGAGAAATCAATTTTACACATGCTAAATATTCATGAGGATTTTGTGCTGCACATACCGAGGACATAAACCCCCAAAACTGAGATGCTAATGTATGTCAAGTCAAGAATACAGATGATACTCTCGTTATCCTGATATTTCTGGGTCACACGCCATTTACTGGTAATGCCAAAAGCTTTACTTTCTGAATTCTAAAGTGTTTTCCCACCCTTAGAAACAGTGTCTGTTCATGCCTAAGCCCAGTGTCAAACAGCCATATTACAAAATTATTAGTACTATTGTAATTTGTCTTGGATGAAAATTATGCTAAATACAGTATCACAACCATAATTACAGAAAATGCTCTAAAATAGAACAGTAAACAGAGTTGAATAAGGCAACATTTAGTTACCCAAAGCAACCATTTGCAAATTCACCTTTTGTTGTTCTGACTGCTCTAAAGTTTTAAAGGTAATCATTAATTGGTTGTTATGGGTTACTGCGGTTTGCACTGGCTTATTAATTAGCCTGATGGTATTATTAAAATGATTGCAATCTTAAGCTATCAGTGCAAAATGGTATTTTGGTAACACTATAAAATGCATGAAAATAAGTCCCTTCTTAACTGCAGTTCATCTGTTTGCACTAGAGTTGTTATTCCTATGACTGTCCATTGTCATTTTCATGAAAGGCATAGAGTAAATGAATCAATAACTTCATTTAGGTGTAAGTGTATTTCCTCTAATGAGTCCTGGAGCTGCAGGTCCCATTGCGATATGTGCTGCCTGTTGTCAACATGCCATTCTGGAGATCCTCAGCACTGTAAGCTCTGCTTTTCAATGCCGTGGCATAGTAGTCCACTGGTTCTTCTGTGGCATTTTCCATCCAACTAAGGCACAAGACCTTCTGAAAGGACCGTCTGAAATTGTCAGATAGGACACCATAGAGAAATGGATTGGCACAACTGTTGGCATAACCAAGTGCAACAGAGAGTTGACTGATTGTAGTGTCCCCCCTCCTGGCAAAGACCCCCACCAACTGCACTACATAGAAAGGCATCCAGCATACCACGAAAACTGTCACCACTACAGTTACCATAAGTGTCAGCTTACGCTCAGATCTGCGTCGTTGCTGCCAACCAGCCTTTAGAGCCACGACTCTCATTTTAGTGATAATGAGAATATAGCAGAGACAGATGGCAGCCATAGGTAGGAGGAAGCCCATCAGAAATGTATAGAGTACAAAGACCACAACCCATCGTTGAGAAGGTTCAGGCATATGTACATTGCAAGCCACTGTCCCGTCACTGTTAGGTGCTGTACTGGAGAAGATTACAATGGGCATAATAATAAGAATCGAAAAGAGCCAAACTCCAAGGTTTACCATCTTTGCCACACTCGGACGTCTGTAGCGAGCAGCACTTATGGGATGGACTACTGCCACATACCTGTCCAAACTAAGAACCGCCAAGCAGTAGACACTTGTAAACATGTTCATAGCATCCAAACTCAGAACCAGCCTACAGAGAAGAGAACCAAATGGCCAGTGCCGGAGGAGAGTAGATGTCACCAAAAAAGGTACACTCAGCATGAGAAGTTCATCGGCAATGGCCAGATTTAAAATATAGATGTTTGTGGCAGTCTTCATTTTGGCATAACGCAAGATTACATAAATCACCATAGAGTTACCGCACAATCCCACAATACAAACTAAAGAATAGACAAATGAAATAAAGATTGCAATTCCAGGGGACTCCGTAGAAGTGCTATTTCGGGAGCTGTTGCCCAAAGTCAACTGTCCTGCACTGTCCAGTAATTCTATCAACACTGTGGATGTATTGTTCTGCAGCATCTTGAAATTTAGCTAAACAGGGTAAAATAATAAAAAAAATCAGTCTTGTCTTTCAGAGTTATACAGGTTGCAGGTAGACACAATCCGTTCTTGCTTTAAAGCTAGCTTTGCTGCAATAGAGTTGAGTTCTTGATAGAAGCACACAATACTCAGTTCAAATCCTCTCAGCATAGATTTTAAATATGTCATTTTGTTTGCTTTTTCTGTCCATGTCAGTCAATTCAGCAGGTTAACGCTCCAGTTACAAGTCGGATCACATCACATTTGGTCCAAGATATAGGAATCACATTCTTCCTTCACTTAGGTAACATGCAAAAAAAGAAGAAGCTCTTGAAGTCTGCAGCAATCCTTTCTCCAGCAAAGAGTAGCATGAAATCTCTGGAGCTGCAATATTTGTTACAGACTGTAGATGAAAAGCAGGGGCTGAAGGAGGAGCAGTGCCTGAGTGATTCACTGATCAGAAAGCACCAGAAACAGTTATTACACAGTAACAAAAGCGCAAGAAAGCGTAGCTCTGGGGCACAGCTGAAATATCTAACACTGCAGAATGTGAGGATGCAGGGGGTGCAAGATGCTGAAGGTTGAAATGAGGAGGACCTGCTCCTTGCTGTGTAGGGAGGGGAGCAAATCTCCCACACAATATGTTGTCTCTTCCTAGTCTAGGGGGTGTATTTGTCTTTTTTATCTTTATAGCGTTCTCTTTTGCTTAACCCCTACCATGTTTAATGTTTCAAAGCATTAGGTGAACTGCCAAGCTTAAGATCAATGAAGTAGGACCTTCTTTTGTTTCCGCTCACAGTTCCGTGTTCTATTCTGGTCCTGCGTGATGCTCACTCTTTCCCTGCGTGACTTACAATATCTTTATCTCATTAACATTTTCATTTGTGGGTGTCACTCAACAAACACCACTTATGCACAGAGCTGCCAGTTTAAATGAAGAGGATGATTTGACATGTTAAAAGACATTCTTCATTTCAGATGTTGCTGTTTTGTGGTGAGTTTTGCAGGTCCATGGTCAGAACTAAAGAAAACTGCGGCTTTAGGCTCTATTCACAACTGTTTAATTGTGTTTTAGATGCTAAAAAAAATCCTTTCACCAAATTGTACATTATTGAAGGATCAACAGTAATGCACCCAGAACATAACTCATCTATAATGAACCACACAGATGTGGACCTGGTCTTAGCCTCAGGGTAATTGTGAATATCATCATGGTGAATACCGACTACTGCCAAGAGAATTTTACTTCAGTTCTTACTTCTTGGAGGAAAAGGTTCAAAGATTTGAGCATTACTTATTAAAAAGGGTTATCTATGGTCACTCATTGAAGTAAAAAATTACTTGGATTCTTGGGCTGCTTACGGTTTAGTTGCTCTATCCACTTCTGATATCATGTGATGTAAACGGACCAACTTGTTGTTCCTCATACTGTAGTGCAGCCTTTCTCAACCAGGGTGCCCAAGCACCCTGGGGTGCCTCGAGGTTCCTTCAGGGGTGCCTTGGTAAAATGTCTAAAAGTTGCCCAAAACTTGTCTACAAGCCAGCAGGTGGAAGAAGCCTGCCTTTTAGTTACACAAAGCCACAGGTCTTCATTGTGCACCTTTACAACCTTCTAGCCATCGGCGTCCTGACAACCAATGACATCAGTTGATAAGGAGAATGTTAGTTGCCTGCACAGCATCCCTGTTTGACTCTCCCCTGCCCCTCTCCATCAGTGCTGAGGTCACATTAGCTCAGTGATGGAGCAAAACGGAGAGAAACACTGTAATATTAGTGCAAAAGTGTATTTGATGTGGAAGAATAAATCACCTCTAGCGTTGGGTGTCCTACATGTGTGGATGCTGCCAGGGGCGGACTGACAACTCATGGGGCCCCCGGGCAATAGGGGATCATGGGGCCCCTGTGTCCTTGCCCAAACTCAAAAAGCCTATGAAAAAGGTACCAGGGGCATCTCATGGGGCCCCCTACTGACCCTGGGCCCTCGGGCAGTGCCTGAGTTTCCAAATGGTCAGTCCGCCTCTGGATGCTGCTGTGTTATATAAAACTATTAGAATAGCTTTTTGCATTTTACAATGGGGTGCCTCAAGGCTGACCATAATTTTAAAGGGTGCCTTGGGATCTGTCCATCATTTTAGAGTGTGCCTTGAAAGTGTACATCATTTTAAAGGGTGCCTAGACTGAAAAAAAGTTGAGAAACACTGCTTTAGTGTTTTGCAACTTAAAGCTCTTCATCACAAGCTTACGAGTATGTTTGAACATGTCAATACTACAAAACTAGAGCAAGAACAGGCACATGAACGTTACTGAAAACATTGCTATAGAAAATAGGATAATCTGCACCCACATGAACACATGATGGAGAACAGAAAATTGTATTCAGTAGCAATTCACATTAAAAAATAATAAAGTATTTGTATCTTTTAGCGCCAACCCCCACCGCTGGCCACAGCTGAAGGGGCTTCTGGACTGGATAAGGGCCACCATCCTGAGCCATAGATAAGGGATTAAATATAACGTTTTCTCCGTTTGTGTTTTTTTTTTATCCTTACTTTGATTTCTGTTAACATTAGTACTACACTATGGGTGCACTCCCTGCCTGGTGGTTCTAATCCTCCAATTTTCATCCAAGATCCATTTTGTATCTCACATATGCAAAAGGATCCTACATTCAAAGTTTTTTACCAAGTATTATACACAGAAATTTTACGCATATTTAAAGACACTTTCAATTCTTCACACTCTCCATCCAATCTCTCAGTGAGGGAAGTCGCAGCACTTCACAACCTCTCACACAATCATAATTTAATTATCAAATCAGCAAAGGTGGGGGTATTGGTATTCAAAATCATTATGACTTCCTTAAAAAATCCATGAGACTGTTTTCAGATTCCCACATTTATAGTAAACTCAAGAAGGACCCACTACCACAATTTAAAGAGGAAGCACATAATCTCATCGAGAGAGCATTTCGAGATGGGGTATTGATAAAACTGAAACCTCAGTTTCAGAAAGACCCCTCAAATCCACCTGGTCGCCCGATTATAGCAGTCATGGGTAGCATCACCAGCTTTTTTTTTCAGTTTACATGGACCACTTCTTGCAACCATTAGCCCAAAGCCTCCCTTCCTGTTATCGACAGTTCACATCTTATACAAATTTTGAAGACATATACTTGGGAACCCTCATACCTCTGGCTTTCCCTAGATTTAAACTCTTTATACACATTGATACCCCATGACATAGGTCTTCAAGCTGTTCAACTTTATCTCACCATTACTCAATCTATGACAGGCTTAGTTAGTTTTGGAAGTCACAGAATACTGTTTAACCAACATCTATTTTTAACCACATGCCTACCAGGCACTTTTACCACCTTCGTGCCTAGGCCAATTTTCAGCTTTCAGTGCTGTTGCACTTTGAATGACAATTGCGCAGTCATGCAAAACTGGGTAATATGAAATTTTTATCATTCTTTTCACACAAATAGAGATTACTTTTGGTGGTATTTAATCGCCACTGGGTGTTTTATTTTTTGCACTATAAACTAAAAAAGATTAAAAAAAAAAGTTTTTCTTTGTTTCTATTATACAATTTTGTAAACAGGTAATTTTTCTCATTCACTGATGTGCGTTGATGAGACTGCACTGATAGGCAGCACTGATGGGCACTGATAGGCAGCACTGGTGGGCACTGATGAGGTGACACGGATAGGCAGCACTGATCGGCACTGATAGGCTGCATTGATGAGGTGGCACTGATGAGGCGGCACTGGTGGGCATTGATGATGAGGAGGCAGTGATTCTGTTGCACTGATATGCACTGATGGGCACTGATAGGTGACATTGATGGGTACTTATGGGTGACACTGACTGGTGGCGCTGACTGGCGGCACTGACTGACAGCACTGACTGACGGCACTGACTGGTGGTACTGCTGGGCACTTATGGGCGCAAATGCTGGGTGGCACTGATGGGGGGTACTGAGGGGGTGGCACTGCAGGGCACTGCTGGGTGGCACTGCTGGGCACTGGTGGGTGGCACAGCTGGGTGGCTCTGCTGGGCACTGTTCTGTGACATCTGCCTGTTAACAGTAGTATTTTCCTCAGGCTGTGACAGCATGAGGAAAGTGCTGCCAATAACTGGCAACTGTATTTACCTTGGCCTTTTACCTCATCCTGTGATCAGCTGTGTCCATAGGACACAGCAATCACAGAGAGCGCTTGATGCATGCTGCTGGGGGCTTGAGGGAGAGCACGTTCTGGGAGGACGGCATATGATGTCCTCCCAGAACTGGATAACTGCACTGTAGCCATCATTTGGCTATATAGCGGTTGTTAAGTGGTTAATTCCAAGGTGATTTTTACCTGCAGATACACAGGACTGCCATGGGATGCTTGCAGTTATGCAACCTAATGATGGGACAATGGGAGCAATCATTTATCTGAAGCAACAACCCGTACGCCAGTCATCTAGTTTTCTATGGACATTACATAGATGGCATCGTCATCATTTGGGATGGCCCCTCTACATTAATCCCAACCTTTGTCCAACACTGTAACACCAATCACATGGGATTATCCTTCACATCAGTTTGTGATACAGAAAAATTGTCATTTTTAGATCTGGAACTTTGTCACTTGGGCAATACCATCTTGGGTAAAATCACAGCTGGCAATTCTTGCTTACATTATAACAGATAAACAACGTTCCAGAAAGCCAATTTTGCTGGTTGAAACACAATTGCACTAGAGAACAAGACTATATGGCCCTGATTCACTATTGGGCGTGGGCGCATATTTATGGGCTTAAGCCCAATTTTCATGGGCGTCCGTCCATTTTTGACCCTGCAACCTAATTCACTATTGAGCAGAGCCCATAAGCAGACGCCCAATCTAATTCACAAAAAGACACACGCCCGGAATCAGACTCACAAAAGCAGACTTGCTAAGAAGCACGTCTAACACCATGAAAAATCACTGTAGAGACATGTTCACTTAGAAA